TCAAGTTATGTGAGTATTTTATACTCAAATAATGATGTCATTACTTGCTTACTTTGGTGACAAATTATCATATAAAAGCACAGATTTATATCCTCACTTTTAATATGAGTTAACAAAACTCAGTAAAGCACACGATCTTGAGCAGATCGTAGATATAAAAACTCAGTTGAATCTCACTTAGTAGAATGAAAAGAAATGTGCATTAACTGAGTTATGACGTCACAAATGAGAATTATCTGAGTTTTGGTGTAAATGGAAAAAGTAACTAATATGTTGTTATGCAATGAGATGAAGAGATATGATTTAGAAATGAGAAAAAATAAAGACAAATTTTTTCACACAGATAAAACATAAGGTAAATGGTCCAATTACTGACATTATAAAAATTTTTATAATTTTATTCGAGTGTATATCTGGTTAATAATATTTTAGTTTATTAATTGATTTTCCTATTTTCTCATAACGTTTAATTTAACAAAAAATTTAATTATCTCAATATACTAGTTTATTTTTTATTAAATAAAATGATGAACTTTGTATCACTGAAGATGGCTCGAAACGGAGCCGGAACGTATGTTATTGTACTTAAGTAACTATTAAAAATTAAACTTTACGCGCACTAAGTACTGCGCTTGACTCTCATTAGCCTTTTTCCTAATTCTTGTTTTTTAAATAAAATAGTTGCTAAAATAGTCAATATTCCTGATACTGGCAATTTCAACATCTTTTTGTCGATAATTCTAACAATCAAATGGCAATATTATTGTCAATTTTTATCCGACAAATGTTAATATAAAGTTAAATTAAATAAAATCAATAAGAGAGAATGAACTTGATAGAGATTAAATTACAAATAAATAAACAAATTCATCTAATTTTCATTTAATCTAATTATATTTAGGAAAGAGATAAACTGTATTATTACCTAGTATTATTTATATATTTATTATTTATGATAAAATTGAATACGCTATTAATATTATCTAGACAGCAGAATATCCAAAATCAGGATATAAGATAATATATAATAATAAAAATTAATCACACGCATGTATAATTAGCTTACCTTTATGTTAATAGATGTCACTTTTATAAAAGATATAATAAGTACTTAAATGATAAGTAATTAGATTGATAGGTACTTAGAACGGAGGTTAAAATATCATATCAGTATTATGTTCTTTTTAATTCGAGTCCATAATACTATTGACAGTATTAGCTATAAACGGCATGAACGTATTATTGATATCAATAATTCTATTGTAATAATACAAGGTGTTTCTAAACTCAATGTCAAAACTACAATGGATTTAGCATGTAAAAACAAGTCGAAAATATGCAATAAACGTATATAAATAAAACATGAAATAAATGTTGTTTAATATTCTTCATTTTGTTTAATTCTTTACAAAAAGTGCTCATTTCATTCCTATAAATTAGATCTTTGAACACTCTTTTTGTAAAAAATTTAACAGAATAAAAAACGTCAAACATTTATTTCAATTCATGTTTTCTTACGAAGCAACTTCAATACCCCATAATTCCGAATCCGTTCGAAATCGGACATATGTTTATTAAGTATCTTCGACTTGTTTTCATGTGCTAAAGCCGCTGTACTGTTTTGATTCTTATATAATGTATTTAATATTTTGCTTCTTTTACTTATTTTCAAGTCCTTATATAGCCAAACTTGCCAAGAGCATGTATTGCAAATCACTCTTTATTGCATATCATGTTAATAAAACTCAGCAGCAGCCAAGCACAGTCTGCTCTTTTTCAATATCTAATATTAATAAAAATGTATCAAAAAACAAATTTGAATTATATCAAGATAATAAGACATGCTCTATTTCTGCTGTATTTCTATTATTGTTATGCTGGCAAAATATAATGGCAGAAACCAAGTTTAGAGAAGACACAGTGTATAAAAATCTGCTCTAAAATCATAATTGAATTTGCTGGCATACTGTGGACATACTATCAGTATTTTGCTATATTATTAAATAAAACATTCGATATTTTCTATTAATTTTAATTTAAAATTACTCATTTTTGCAACTACCTCTTCTCCATTTTTAACAAGATTAAACATTGCTTAGGACAAAAATCTATAGGCTTTTATAGTTTAAATTTTTAAATTAGAAGATTAAAGTTTTAGTGAAATATTATTACAATAAGTAGACTCCTTAAGAATTTAAGTAAATTTAAAAAAACATAATTACATATAATATAATTTGTATATTTAAATAAATATTTAAAATCGTATTGTTAAAATCGAATTGTATTGTTGAGTTCCAATATTTGCGAAATTGTCAGTAATTAAGCCATTTATTCTATCTCATTATTAGTGATTAAATTTTAAAAACTTAATAAAATTGATTTTTTTTTAATTTCTAGACTTTTAACATAAATATCTAATTATCTCAATTTTATAACAATTTTCAGTTCTTGCATTTATATTTTTCATATATATCTTCATTTTTAATATACAAACTACAAAATATACTATTTAAATCAATCCATATAAATGTCTTTGGAATTATGATTTAAAATATTTCCTGATTTTGGTGCTCTTAAGAGTAGTTATACAAATGTAAAAAAAAATTAAATTGAATAAAAGATTACAAGAATTAAAATATTTAATATAATTTAGCTTTAAAGAATTAGTATATAATATTGAAGATTATGATAGAGCTGTAGATGTTCTTAATGGAAGTCAATATTCAAAGTATTTTTTTTTCTTGAATTTATATTATATGTATAAATAATACTTAAATAATATGTACAAATTTATAAAATACAAATTTATAATAAAGACATTTAAAATACATTAAATATATTTAAAAATTGACATAAAATAAGAAATAAAAAAAATAAAGACAAGGTAAAAAAATAACTTTAAGAATCAAATTAAACCAAGATGTAATAAAAACGTAATAATATATATAATTAATAAATAAGAGGAAATTACAAAAATAGCTTTAAGAATAAAATTAAACCGATATAATAAAAATATGATAGTTTAGTAAATAAGAGGAAATTTTTATAATTTTAAAATAAAATAACAAAGATTATTGTTATTTATAATCATTTGTAATTCAAAATATATATAGAATAATCCCAGTCTTTAAAAAAACTTATTAAGACTAAATTCTGAGACAACTTTACTTTATGCACAACTTTGTGTAAAACTTAACTTTTAATTTAATTAATTAATTAGTTACTAAAAGAAATAATTAGCTTATTACAAATCGGGTACAAGAGATAGGCGAAGACATCGTATCTCACCTTCGGATGTGCATGCTTATCTGGAAAATATCTATGCTGTAATCAGCTAATGATAAATCTGAAAATAAAATGCGCCAACCTTGTTTACCTCGTATCATCCGATCTGTAAATAAGCTATTTCCTTTTATAATTAAAAAATTGAATTTCTGACAAAATGGTGCAAGAAAAAAATACTTAAAATGAAATAGATATATATTTTAAGTTTAATAAAAGCGAGATAGAAATTTTTAATGCACCCCAGGACAGTAACAAAAAACAAGCTTTAATGTTTGGAAGCTTATTTCCCAAAATATTCAATTTCGGAAAATAATTTTATTAAACATGAACGAATTTGACATTAAATTTTTATAAAATTTTGCCCCTTTCTAATGATAAAAATTTCTAAAGTTTTGTAAAAATGATAAAACACTGGAGATATTTGGAAAAATATATTCTTGAAAAATCTAAATATATAGTTATAAAGTGTATCAAATACTGCAACAATTTCATTAAAAATATTTAAGTATTTTAAAATTTCAATATTTGTTTTGACTTATATAAGCTTTATTAGCTTCAATATAAATTGTTCAATTTCATAAATCTTAAAGATGGCGTATATGCATAATAAAAAGGGTTTCTTTATTTTTGTATTTAACAAAATACTTGAAGAAAATTAAAATATGTTCTAGATAATATTACACAAATTAATATATCTTATGATTAATATACCTATATCTATATAAAACTATCATACATAAAATAATAAATCACTATATGTACAATTAACATTTGAAAAGCATCTTCATACATTAATGTGAAACAAATAAGTATAAAAAATAATTTTATTTTCACCCAAGTTAATTAACGATTTTAGGATTAGTGATTATAATTAAAAAATTTTTTATATTCTCTAAAATTGCCAAATACCAAATATTA